AAAGCACCATTAATCCTGTCATTGGTAAATAATGAGACAAAGAACAAGCAATATAACCCAAAGATCTTCTAGAAGCTATAATTGTTGTATATTAATTGCTTATCCGCAAAAGTGAAAAAAAAATAATGAGACAATTAAACTCGCCCCCTGCTGTTACATACAGTACATAACAACGGGGTGAAGTTTAGTAGAGACAAGAGGACTGCCTCCCCTGTGTCGCCACGGACTTGTTGATCCTTCAGGTATTTCATTTACCAGACCTAATTAAAGTTTCACTAAAGGTAATTGAGTTTATCAGCGTGTTTCACGTTCATTGGTGAGCTTGAAAGTGTGAGCAAGAGGGTGTGATTCTTACTTCGGAATGCCAAGATCTAGTCTTGAGAAAGACAAGTATTAGTTATTATAATGTTTCAACATTATACTTATATTTTAGCAGTTGTTAGATTAACTGAATTAGGATATACCAAGAACCAGTCATCAGAATAGCTAGAACCAGTTTGAAAATGTCAAGTAAGAATGCCAAAAGCTTGAGCTACGAGCACCAGTTGTCTTAAGAATTAGAGAACTGGTTATCATAAGGTCAAGAACTTACTTCGAAAACACTAGACACTGGCCTCATGAATAATAATTATTTTTCGGGGGGAGGTTAGTCCACGTGGAACCATAACTCAGAATATTGAGCATTGGTTGACGAGGAGTCCGAGTTGTGAACAATGTCAGAATTTGGGGATGACTTATGTCATTTCATCCCTTTGAGATGTATCAATGTTTTTTGTATCTCAATAAACGTATCAATCAATGTCAGAATTTCGCGATGAAAATGTCTAGTTGTACTGCGCACATCATTGTCATTCCTAAAAATCCCATTTAATTCATATTACGCTATATAACATTCAAATGCACCGCGCTTGTAGAACCTCAGAAAACGGGAAACATTGATAAAGGACAACTCACCTACTCAATGTTCCTAGACCATGTGTTGTATTGTACCCAGGTACAGTTATATCATATTAAATGTATGTATTCATAGCATTAAGGATAACTCAGGGTATGCATAAGATGAATATTAAAGTCCAGTTGAGCCGGACTAGTGTACTGTAAGACTAAGTGTGGATCAGGGTTTGAAGGTCATACTATTTACGTATGTGAGCGTGTAGCGAACATAACTCCCACAGATATCATATGGAATATACATGAGAACAATGATCTGGAAAAAGGATAAATGTATCAGAACTAGGTGAGGTGTTGAAAGTGATCCAGAAACTATACTTGAAAGGAAATATCTTGTATGCGTCGTTATGAATTTAATACACCTCGTATCCTCACGTGACATATACCCACGACAGGTACAGTGATCAGAGAATCTTAAGTCTGTGTTCAAATAGTGCAATGTGTGAGAGGAGGATCCCTCATTACAGTTTTAAGTGAAGTTGATACACCCCCGCCATGAACATTCAGCCTTTGTTTCAAGGCGCGTCATGTACCCGCCTCAGTTGCCACGTTGATATAATAACCCCATGAATTTACCCCAAGAACTAGCAACGCAAGACCTTACCTTAGTGTGTAATTTAGGATTAAAATATGTGTTTATAAGGCATGAGTGACAATATAGCGAAAAGTGTTCAGGTGAGAACCATAAGAAACAAAAGTGAAAATTAAGGATTGGAAACTGTAGGCCTATGTGACGAGGAGCGGCGGGGCAATGCCCTCAGTCTTCCTCGTTCTACCGCCACCTCAGGTCAGTGTCCTAGCGGGCTATATCCCGCCCTATAATTAAGGTTGATAAATAGAAGTTATTACAGTTTAAAGCTTTGCCGGATATATAAGTGTAATAGGAATGTGTTAAGGGGTGGGATAACCGCCCGTCAGGCATTATTTCTCAGTCTTCCTCGTTCTACCGTCACCTCAGGTTCCATGCTGTCGGAGTACTTTGCCGCCCGGCCGCCATTATCCCTTTGAGCGTCACGACAGGTGGTGACTACTCCCCGCTATCCTGCCAGACCTGTGGATTTCCAGCACACCACTCCAAATGAATAGTCACAACTAAGGAGACCGTGAGAAACTCTGCGGTCGTCACTTGAGAGACCTATAATACCAGGCGTAGAAATAGTGCTGGTATGTCTCTAAGGTGAAGCCCTCGTCTTTACCCACCGAGGGCGGTGTGCGAACGAGGTGCCTGTTGTGTATACCTAAAAGTCAACAAGGAGTCACATACTTGCAGGTGTGGAGTGTAACAGGTGTGTTGAGATGGTGCTACTATGTATGATAACCGACGGTGCTAGATTCCACACAGGTGGAGCAGTCTGATGTGTTAAGGGATATTGTAGAAGGAACGACCGAGGAACGGTGGTCACAGATTGTTATGCAATAAGTAGGTGGATGACCCGCCATCAATGTAAGAGTCTGGGGCCCATCTGGGTAACCACATTTCCGTTGTTCTTCTGAGGAAGGCCAATTCATGTATATGTTTTTACCAGTATGTTTGATAAAGGAATAAATCAATAAGACATGTTATGGTTTCACACCCATATCGATCTGGTCAATGGAAAACCTAACCCAATGCCTAGTCCACTCTGCCCGCTACCTAACGAGCTACATGCTGTCCAGAGGGGGTCTGGTGGCAGCGACCCTTAGGAATTAAGATTAGAGTTAAGTTATCCCCTTAGACTTAGTGACCCCAGAATCTGGCAGTATATAGTTGGGAATATATTAATGGCATTGAGTGACAACAATATTTTTAAGATCTAGTCAGGAAAATTCCATGGATTACAACTTTAAAGAAGCCTAAAGTCTCCCACCATCAACCGGAGACCAACTCTGTCGATCGATTACTTATAATTGCAGTTTTCATTTACGCGTATCTTCGCGCTTTAACGACATGCAAAATTTATTTTATGCAATCTGCACACTTCACACTTTTATGTTATTATATTGGCTATTATATTGTTATAAGGGTATATTACCTCTCTCTCCAATTTGTTAATATTATCCCATGTGTCATCACTATAATACATAATATTGTATATATTATTATCTAGTGCCTTGGTGTTGTGTGTAAGGAAAACCCATAAGTTAAGTTTTAGTCAAAATATGTAATGGTTTATCTTCCAGATTTTATGAATTTCGTAACTTTTTATCAACCACTGGAGTAATGTATGAAGTTTGTGTTTCAGTGATACACAATGTACAAATGTTACATTAGAAGGTCCTAAGTTTAATTAAACCAAGTTAACCCATGTGCAGGGGCAGAGCTAATTTTGTGCCATCATTGGCTCACAGTGGAAGAAAACGGTAGTAAGGGAGGACTCGTATATCATCACGTGAGACCATCCCACTGTATTAGAAGATATTCTTGCCATATTTTCTGATTTTCTCATCCCTTAGCACACTATCTTTCTGTTAGCCCGCTTGAATTTCTCATCTAATCAATATTTTTATGATATTCATATTCTTATTATTAAAAAAAAATATTATAATTCTCAAAAACAATCCTCTCTCTCTCCAAGCTATTACAATAAATCCTTTTACTCCTTACTGTTATCCTCTTCGCCACTGATCAGCTTGTTAGCCGCTTGGGTGATCGATTACGTCTCTGATTACTTTTCCTTTTCATTTGTCTTCTTCACCAAAAGATTGGCTCGCTAGCCGCCCGGGCGATTGGTCACGTCTCTGTCACGCACTGTTGGCAAGTACTGGGCATGCACCGGCTCCTGAATGTACCTGAACCCGCTCCAGTGTTGGTCAAGTCTTGTCTTGAAAGAGCTCACACTCGGTGCCGTCACAAGTACTGCATTATGTGTAGAGGTTTTCAATTTATCAATATGGCCACTAGATATATTACAGATAACTAGGCTATACAAGTTTCACGCAACAAATGGGTACTTGTCTCTCCACATCCAGTTTCCTAGCTGAACTTTAGACTTTAGGGAATTTAAATTTAAGGCTGCCAATGGCTCTCAAATATTACACTTCCTCCTGTTGCACCCTACAGTATATATTTGCTGTACGCATAATAAAATCCATTTTCTGTTTTCGTCCTTTTGAAATCGATGAAAATATCAAATTTTATCGTGTAGTATGTAATTTGATGTGCATCCAGACACGGCACATTTATCAGGCATTGTCATAGACCTTCACACCACCATGGCCAGCTGCTGAGCCCCTTACCCCAGGTCACACACTTGGGCTGCCGACCAGATGACGTCATGCATGGCGAAGGATGAATATTCGACTCGAAGCGGGTCGACTTGGTATAATTAGACTTTGAGAAGAGTAATGCTAACAATTTCTGGTCTCAACACGTATCTGGTAAATCAGACACATAACTGTCCGGCAGATATCCATATATTTCTTACGACTGTCTCATCATAACCTTATAGTCTCCACTAATAGGATGTCAGCATGAAGCATGAAAGGAAATGTGTTTTGTGTATCCTGGAGATTTTTTGGCTAAGTTTAGTCAGCGTAATGCCCGTCTGTACTGACTCACCATATTGTACATTGCAGACTGTGAGGCCTCTTTCAAACGACCAATTTTTTGCCGTGCAACAAAACACATTCGTGTGAAAAATGTCTATAAGACCAGCCCCTCACTTACGTAGCGATGTATTACTATGCTAGGTTACATTTTACTTTACCGGGTAATGTGATAATGTAAGTTCGAGAATATTTCTTCATAGTCATCGCCCATACTTAAAACTTAACACGATCTGATTCTTTTCCGCTGATCAGAGAAAATAATTGGGATATTCATTTCAGTGAAGAGCTGAAGATTTTGCTAGTGGTGGAGGGAGGGTGCGTAACGGAGTTAGGACTATCGCCGTGACACTGAGGAAGGCCAACATCTTCTACACTTTACCGTGAGTCATAATATGGTAGTAACTGAAGGGATTTCTGTGTTTTGTATACACTTAAAGGGATTTGTCTACACCTCTCTATTCTTCTTTGGTTAGGTGTTTATTTAGTATTGTGAAAAACTGCCACAAATAAATAAATAAATAAATAAATAAATAAATTTTATTGCAAGTGACATTCAATACCTGAAAGCAAACTTCAGCTTATGTATTAAAATAAATCAAATCTCCTTGTTGCTGACTGTTGTTCAGTTGTCTTATCATCTGAATACGGTATCACAGTCTCTCAGTCATGGCTGGAGTTCTTTCAGGTATATCTTTCGTTCCACTGGTTATGCAACACAACTATTGAATTCAATTTTAACGTAGATAGTGACCAATTTTCCTTATAAATCCTTCATGCTGACAAAAATATTAAACTATATCGTTCAGTCAAGTTCAAAATTCCGACTGTGGTTGTATCTGCACTGAGCTTAAGCACAAAGTATGTACAAGGCTCTAGTGGTTTTATCTTCGCCCCAAGAAACGTGTTAGTCTTTTTTTTAGAACACTTCAGACTATTAGGTAATTGGGCACATTGATAGTGTCATAATTATCATTTACTGAAATAGAAGTTTCAGGTGGAGGTCAATATTTTCTCAATACGTCATCTGTTTTCATTTTCTTAATTCCCCTTTCCTTGGGGCTATGAGTTACGTGTATTGTAATCTTCATTAAACTGTTCTGTAAAACTAATTTTTTATAGTTTCTTGATGACGTTATTAGTTTAGTTTAATAGAAAAATTCCCTTCAGGTTAGTGTGGTTATGACATAAAAATATATATAATAGTAATATCGTGATGTTGATGCCTGGGATCATTTATACTGAGGGACGAGAGCTACAACACTCGCCACACTACAGGGATTGTCTTATTTCGGGTATGACGTCATTATTTTGCTTTCCCCGGGACAAATAAGCATCCTGTTTACCTAGGTTGGTGTCTTTTTGTCTTCACACTTGAGAAAAATCCGCAGTCGTGTACGAGAATTTTAGCAAAAGCCAAAATGTGCTGTTTCTTTGTTAAGTTCAGCCTTTACACTTTATTTACTTTAGCGTTTGAGGATCGTATTCACTGCTATTGAGTTAGTATAAGTTCATCCTGTCATATAACTTGTGTTTCGATAATTGAACACAGAGTATTACGCCTCTCAACACTTGAGATGCGCGCCTGAACACGTACAAATAACCATCGACACAAATACAAACAGCCATTCAGAATTTTTCAGTCATGACGTACTTGGAAGTGTGTTACAACCCTCCAGCCTAGCACAACAAAGCCTCCTCTTCTCCGGACCACATAACTCTTCACGACAACACTAACACCAATGTATCTCCATTTCACACGGAGGTACTGTAAGTAAGTAAGTCCATCTCGCCCGGATGTCAAAACTGGGCGTTCCAGACGGTATCATAACAGCCTTTCCAAACTGGAACTTGATTATGTCCCACACAGAAGCATTGGTAGTGGGCACTCCAAAAGACAAGGACTGAGAATGTCCCAAATTGGAGTTTTTGTCAGTGGACATCATGAAGAGGAGGTCGAGTGCTCGGGTTACCCCAAGCACGGCAGTTACCCCACGTTGCAGAGGCAGGCTTCAGTCTTGGCTTCCTGACGCACATAGTCTGCCACGTTGAACTTACGCTCGTTGGGATTGTTCGACTTCCTTGCCTTCAGCTCTCTGGGGAAGCTCACAATATAAACTTGGCAGGGAAAATCCAATGAAATAATTTGCAACAAACATAGACAAAAAATGCAAATATAGAAGCAACTGATTCTGTAACGTTTAATCACATCTAGTTGTAAATGGAAGTTTGAAGCAGCTAAAGTGATACTGTATAATAAAAAGTTGAGAAATATTGATAAAAGTTTTTTTTCATAATAGTTATATGCAAATGGTTGAAATTAATCGGAGGGGAATAGAGTGAAGTTAATCATTGGTTGCAGAATTAATCGCTTGATGTTTCTTTTGTTACTGATAGCACCTTACTTCTACAATAACTATTGTCAATAAAATCATCTACGCTCACTTACACCCCATCATCCCTGACCACATCCCCCATCCTCAAACACCCACTCCCACATCCCCCATCCTCAAACACCCACATCCCCCATCCTCAAACACCCACTACCACATCCCACATCCTCAAACACCCACTACCACATCCCCCATCCTCAAACACCCACTACCACACCCCCATCCTCAAACACCCACTACCACATCCCCCATCCTCAAACACCCACTACCACATCCCACATCCTCATCAGCACCCTTTATCACATCCCATATCAGCATTAACACACCCCTCCTGCTCCAAGAACTACACACCCTTAAAATAACACCAGGATCAAGTCTCTCTCTTCCCCACCGACACACACATCTCACCTCCCTCGCGTCATCTGAACCAGTCCCTTTGCTCTGACTTTATCTCCATCTTTACACTCACAACAACAGCCATACATGTTCTCTTAAGTTCTTACCAGCATCTTTTCTCTCTCTCTCTCACTTTCTTTACACCTCATCAACATACACTTTCCATACTCTTACTAACACCTTTCTTCTTCTCTCTCTACACACCTCATGCTCCCACACACTCTCTACACCCACCCTATCCGTCCACACTGTTACACCTCGTCAACTTACCTGGCGACAGCCATGAAGGCGGAGTCCACGTTGAGGCCGGTCTTGGCAGAGGTCTCCATAAAGGCTACGTTGTACTCCCTGGCCAGCCTCTCGCCGTCCTCCCGCCTCACTACCCGCTCCCCGCTCACCTCACACTTGTTGCCTGCAAGGTCAAGCCAGGTCACGGTCAAACTAGTTCAAGGCCTCTTCTTTCACCCCTTAACTTCATTCACCAATATTGCTCCTTTAGTCCTCTTCCTCAACAGTTCCTCACCCATCCTCTTCGGTTCCTCTGTTTTACCTCTCCTCCCATGGTTCACCCCGACGCGCGCGCACACACACACACACACACACACACTGACAACCAGTTTGACAATTATTCAGGTAATTTTGACAGATTGAATACTATTCTTTATTTACATTTAAGATGGATAATTGTTAGTCTTAACCACGTCTTGTACTAACCTATAAGCATAATAACCACGTCGTCCTGGGCGTACTCATGCACCTCGGCCAACCACGCCCGCGTGTTTGTAGCTGTTCTTGTTCATGACGTCGTAGAGGAGCAACAACGCTGAAGATGGTAATGATAATGAGGTAAATATTAAAGATCAATAAAGATGCTAGTTATAATAATAATAATAATAATTATAATGACCAAAACAGGGGATACGAACCCTATCACAGTCCGCACACTCAGATATTTAAAAACACAGCTCTCCTGCCGTCTACCTCTTTATCTACCCCTACTCAACCCTAACTACTGGCTATTTAACTGACATCTTTACACAGTATTGATCCAGAAGACTTGAAATACATTGTAATTTACTGCTCTTTCGTATTTCACAACGACGATTCCAGTTTCCATCGGGGTCAGGATTCACGACGATTATCTGATTTTTTTTATTGATTAATAGCGATTTTAGTAAATTTATAATCTTATCCACTGCTCTCCTTTATTTGTGTAGTTGTGTCTATATTGTTATTATTATTATTATTATTATTATTATTATTATTATTATTATTATTATTATTATTATTATTATTATTATTATTATTACACTAAAAAAAACAGTCTACTCTTCATTATTTCATCCACTACTCTACCCACAACTTCTATCATTCTATTTCCATCCACCATTCACCATGTTAGTCTCTAATAATATTCAATTTCATCACTTACTTAATAATGTTAAATACACCTCCATACCTAATGCGCCTCAGCAAAAAGTTCACTCATTCACATCCTCCGTAGTCAGTCAAACACGCACACACAGGTAAACAAACATCAATACAAGAAGAAAGGTGGATAAACAATTAGAGAGCTAAGTAGATTGACACACTGATAAGTAAAAAAAAGCCCAAAGAAGTAGATAGATAGAAAAAAATAACTATTATACTCCAAAGTTATTCCTTACACACACACACACATTATCTTAAGTACTAAAATAACAAATTGACAAGTGATACCGAACCACCGAACCCTCAAACCCTCGAACCTCTGGAGTTAACGAAACCGTTGATCTAAGTAATGAACCTTAATTTGTATAATTATTTATGGTATTTATATTATGGCTATTATGATCGATCCACATACGAGAAATTGTACAGAAATTTAGTTTGTCTTGGAGGATGTGAGTGTTGTAATGCAAAGGTATCGCCTCTTGTAAACAAAAGTGGATTACGATTTCCTGTCAAATTTTCTTTTTTTTAGTTTATATGTAACAAATGTTAATATTTTTCTCCAACACCTTCAGCTGATTGGTCTGGTTTCTGAGGCACGATGACACAAACACCTGTCACATCTGTCACGACCCGCCGGCCAGATGCTCACACTCTAGTCTGAACAGATGGCGGACTTACTTATTTATCAAACATCGAGTCACTTTCCTACTCGAAATGTCTGAAGGTGTTGTTGATGGTGGCTTCAATCACTATTTCTTTCACACAACTTTCGAGAATATCAACAGTATTATGTGAAGCGACGAGGTTCCTCTTTAAGGCTCTATTTAAAGTGTTTCCATTGGGCTTCCCCCTCCTGCGCTGCCCTGGTGTGAGGCTTCCACTGAGGGTTGTCTAAAGCTATGAGGAAGAGTCATACTCCTCTGGTGATGACACGATCCTGCGTGTCTGAGTCAGCTTTCACCCCCACTTCACTCTGCTTTTGTTTACATTTTCGAAAATTTTGCTCGGTTACTGCATCCTGCCAGTAAATTATTATAACAGGATGTACTTATCATCTTAGAATGTGTGATTACTAGAGTTCGTTAGAGATTATGGGGTGATTGTTTAAGCAATTCCGGTTATCCTTTCCTGTGCTATTTGATATCACACGATCCGCTAAGTATTTATTGACTAGATACATTTATGAGAATCGATCAATATTTTGTATATCTGCGTCACACACACACACACACACAATCAGGACTATACTACCAGCAAACCATTCACACAAACTACTAATACCACAACAACCTTACCATCTCCACACCAATATTCTCCACATCACCAACACGACCAGACCAACTTTAATACACTAACATCACCACACCTGACTTACCATGGGCGTCCCTGTAGTAAGCATGGGTGACGCTCCTAAACCTCTCCTGACCGGCTGTGTCCCATATCTGAAGCTTCACCTTCGTCCACAGTCACCACCTTATTCTGTAATGTGAGAGAAAGAGGGAGTCAGGATCAACGAGAGAGAGAGTCATGCTACAGGGGAGAGAACCATGTTGACAGGCAGGGAACTAGCTGATGGTCGAGTCAGGCCAACACGGGTGCCGCATATTTACTTGAGAATGGCGGGCCAGGTGGTGGGGAAGTGAGACCAACAAGGAGCCCACATGTTTACTTGAAAGGGTGTGAACCTCTACGTCCGGGAGGTGGCCAGGGGTCTTTTGTTGATATCTTGGCACAACCCCATAGCCGAATCTTCACGTGTCATTCACAAAGAAACAAAAAACATAATAAAAAAAAAGGAAAAATGGACAGTGTTTTTTTTTTCAGGACAAGTTTCTGCTACTCCGTCGTAATGTTTAGTTGGAGATGAATCAGGAAAATTCTTTACATCCTTATTATAACAATCATTGATAAAAATTTACATGGATTAGCTATACGCAGAAAAAAGTTTACAATACCAAGAATATACAAAGGAATAATATTTATACGGTGTTAATGAGACCTAAAGACCATTCACATTGTCTCTGATGAACAAAAAACAACAACATTTTATAATATCCACGATACACAAAACACCTGTAAACAGTATTAGTGAGGTAAAATATAACGGTACTACTTAAAATTTCTTCAGATAATCACTTCAGTAAGACGTGGATGAGAAGGCGTTGCGGTATTGACACTCACTCTCTGCCTCATATGCCCCACACACACACAATGTAACCCTTAGCACCATAGATAATAGATAAAGGTACAGAAAATATAACACTGTAAAAAATGTATCAATGTAGCTACAGGAAATATGGTATTAATGTAGAATTCCTCCTGTATTTAAGGGGCACTCTCAGTTACCCAGACTTGACCAGCATCTGATAACCTTGTTTATATCCAGCTTAGCTACAGTGGTGCCTGGACTGAGGAGAATTGTGTCACTTACAGCAATTCGTACACAGTCGTCATAAATTCCTACCTGGTAATAATATTTAGGCTTTATAGAATATCTGCAAGTGAATGAAATCAATATCCGTGTTGATCTGCAAATATTAAGAAAACTATTTTGATTATTAGAAGTTTGAAGAATTCATTGTATAGAAAGTATTCATTACACCAGATGAATCCACAAATGGAGAAAAAAAATAGTCATCGGAATTTATTTGATTAACATACAACTCAGTGTAATATTTCTTAAATGTTTTCCACGGTATAAAATTAACCTTACTTGTATGCATATTATCATGCCTTCAATAACACAATAAAAATGGCACACAGTCGAAGTATGTGCGTCACCCCCTGAGCCGTGACCTTACAACACGACAAAGTTAACGCTGACCTTTTACATAGTTACTATTATTACGTTCTGTGCTATTATTAACTTCCAACTCAAGGTTTATTTTAAAATTAACTCTCTTTTTGCGTCTAATTTGTGGAGTAAACTTGTCGAGTATGACGTAGCATTGTAATACATAGAGAACTTACACTCGCTGTGTTATAAAACCATATGGAGTTATGGCAGGGAAACTCCAGAAGAATTTCCCTACATATTGTTATTATCCTGGAAAAAATGTCCCCATGCATCTTGACACACCAAACTATGAATATATTTAGGAATGAAAATTGGTGATATTATTACATACACTATTTATTAATTTCGTAAAAAAATATAAATATAGGTTGTTTATCTTGTCTCTTAACGGGAAATAAGAGAAACTCGGTATAGCACAAGATAATTAAGTAAACCAGTGGTCCCAACCTGCTGTTTGTGAGACCCTCCTTGTTACACTAAATTTCCTAGTTTTCTATCATTTGGGTGACGCTTAATACAGCAAATTGATATAAACCCCTGCATTTAAAGTTCTATTTTTGAATTGGATTTTATTGAACTGGTGATTAGATACGTCACATTCTGGAACATTTAACAGCGGCCCCATTACACATATATATTTAGGTAGACCATTGTTTGTAGTTAACTCATTAAAACTTACCATAGATACGGTACAATACCCCTGCAAAGGAGACATAAAAACTTTCTTCATACTCTTAAAATATTATAAAATCCAACAGTTTTATAAGTCAACATGCGACCCGAGAGCTGGGTTGAAAATTGGCAATATATTGTAAATTAAGTGCTATAAAATCGCCTTTTTTACGTCAATATCAAGTAAAAATATAATAAAATTTATTAATTTTCATCAGTGAGAAAGAAAAAAAAATGTGAGGCAATTGTAGGGACGAGATAGTGTTGTGGGGCGGTGAGGTCCCCGTCACTCATTATTTGTCACGAGATCTTGTCCAGACGACGTGAGGACCCACAGGAAATTACTTACAATTTTAAGTGTACATTTACGTTGTGGGTTAATTGGCTAGATAAATATATCTCAATATTCTTGTACATGATAATTAAGTTAATGTATAATAAAAGAAATTCAGAGACAACATTTAAGTGAGAGTTAATTGACTAGTTTCTGTATAATACCATCAGTAAAGTATAAATAGTATGTAGGGTAATGGACAAGGTGAGGATGACGAGTCGTCCGGTCTTCCTGGTTTATTTCCTGACACCGGAGTCATCCAGCTGTTAACAGGGTGACAGCCACATCCTAAACATAACCCCGGCTTAAATGCCTTTTTTCCCTCTGACCAGCCTCGAACACATGGGGCAACCATTGTGTGTCTATGTTAATGTGTGTGTGTGTGTGTGTGTGTGTGTGTGTGTGTGTGTGTGTGTGTATATTTATGCAGGTGTGTAAGTGTACATGCACGTGTGCCATCACTTAACTCCAGGTGAGTGTCGGGCCTGCGTAAATAAGTCATTCGGCGACTCCCCTGTGGCAGAAAGGCTGGGTAAATCCAGACCTGGCGGGATTAAAGGGAGAGAGAGAGAGAGAGAGAGAGAGAAGAGAGAGAGAGATTCTTTCATCAAAAATTTAAAATCACCGGGAAACATAACACTATAGACGACCGACGCTGGAAAACCTACCTAAACACGCGATCATCTTATACTCTTCGATTATGGGATCGGTGAAAACCAACCCCACAAAACGGGAGAATTGGAAATCCTGACAAGACCAAACACCATATCAAGACCCCAGAGGATTCAGAGGGTATATACCAGGACGCTGCGGCTCAGCTCTCCTCCTTGATGTAGCGACGGAACACAATTTTGAGGTGGTATTTAATCGACCACGGAGGTGTATAAATACTTCACGCTGTGTTGCCCGCACTGAGATTCTAGTTGGCTGCATCATTATAATTTAAAGTCATTTATGATTTATCTCTTATATGGGATTTCTTTATAAACGAGTCTAGTTTTATATTTCACGAAATTTTATGAATAAAGTAATGTATTTCGGTGTGAGAGCCTCTCCGTTAACGTGGCAACCAGGGAGGTGAAGGGCGGAGGAGGAGATGGAGGAATATGCACTCTCCCATTACCACAGGGCACGAAAATCATTACCGTTTTCATTTCTTTCCTCCTCCCCATACCCCCTCCCCCAACCAAAAAATGTAGCTCAGAGGATTGGTGTCGTGCAGACCGTGTTGAGTTGACCTTTGACCCAGGATCTGCCTTCGATATTCCTTACCCCGTTACATGTTACCAATAGCTGATTAAATTCCTCTGGCAATGTTCTACCTCACCCCTCATGACCTTGACCTCTGACCTGTATCAATAGTTCCCACCACACAGTCATATGCTAGGAATTAAGGTACTGTAGTCTTCTTCGTAGTGAATGAATCCTGTAGAAGGTGTGTTTTATCCTTACTGTAGATTCTAACTACTCAATTTGACCTGTTTTTGTCGTAACAACTCAAGTCATTGTAATATTTGTTCCCCTACAATATTAACTTGAGTACGATGTTATCTTTCCATGAGAAATCGATTAATCATCCTGCAATTAAGAGTTCGGGTGTTATCTGAGCAATCACCATATTCATTTATGACCCCACTAATTATCCCTCACTTATACCTTCGACTTTAGTACTAAAGGTAAAAAAAAAAAGCGGGAAAAGTTCACACTTACGTTAAAGTTCCTCAGAAAGTTGAACTCATTATAAAGTTGGTTACGCTTAGATACGGTGTGTGTGTGTGTGTGTGTGAGGAGGGTTGTTCAGGCGTGCGAGGCTACCGTGTGGAGACCTTGGTGGTTAAAAAACCGTATTACTTCAGGTAGTTTCTCTATACGCAAGAAAAGCTTGAGTGATTGATGATTTGTCGATGCGGTTAGGTAAGGAAACATAAGTACTGGTCTTATATAGCCAGTCTACCCTTCACTCATATTCTGACGCGATGATCTAAAAAAAACACAAAAAAATATAAGAATCAAATATCAAAAGTTAGAAACGAAAAAAAAAACAAACTTTTATCATTTATTGAAGAGATTATAAAAAAACAAAAACAAATGAAAATGCTTCCAACAACTCATGGAATCGACAAATATTTTCCACAGTCAAGTAAATAAAGATCCAGAGACGAGTTTCTATATAATTAATGGAGGAGGCAAAATTTACCTTAGTCACCCTAATAATCGACATCCACTAATATTGGCTAGCCGTTTTCTGTAACTCAATATCTCTCGGGGATTTAAGTGTGCTAATATATTGACATTTTTCTCTCTTCTGCTCTATAGTATTTCTTCTCTCTCTCTCTCTCTCTCTTATCCTTTACCACTTATTTTATTTTATCTATCTACACTCTTTCTGCTATTCCCTCCTCCCCTTTCAATCTCCATTTCTTTCTTCCTCTAACATTCCCTCCTGCTTCTCCCCTTTCTCTCTCTCTCTCCTATTCTCCTCTTTCTGTCCCCTTTTCTCTTTCTATCTCTTCATCATTCCTTAACCTCTTCTCCCCTCTCTCCCTGCCTCTCTCTTTCTCCTTGAGTCTCTCTGGATTTCCCCATCTCGCCAAGAGTCTTCAAACCCTCAGCCTCCAGCGATCAGTTCCATAATCCGTCTTCCAGGAAGGTCTGACACAGAGGCTTTCACACACC